CTATTATCTTCTTTCACTTTTTATCGCTTCGAGAAAAGTACAGAATTTCGGTGATTTATAGTTGAGATGCTTGTGTTCACGTTGTTTGGTTTAAGATAATATATATACATATATATGCTAATTTCTACATTTATTGCACCTATATAGTTCTCATCGGATTATTATTTCTTTGAATAGAGACTAGGATTATAAAAAGAAACTTTGCAACGTTTTTCATTCTTTACAATAAATCCTAAACGAGAGGTTTAAGATTTAGTAAGAATGAAATTTACGGCTACTGCTGTATTAAACTAAGGTTCTATCAGATTTCGGTGCATAGTAAACAACGCTTTGACCTTTTAACCGCGTTTAAAAGAAAAATTCTATGAAAATTTATAAGGAATGTTGATGTCTGAGAAGCTATCCACACAAACTATATGCGATCAATGTGGAAGTAGATAAAGTGCAAAAAAATAAAACCAGATTGACTTCTATAGACAGGGAACTTATTTTGTATGATTGAAGAAGAGACTGTTCGCAAAATACTTTGTGAAAGCTTCTATAGTAGGCTGTGTTAACGATGAAAGAATATCATAGACCAGGATTCTCGGAGCTCAGCTATATGATTTCGCCCCAGCGTGGAGACTATTCGAGATATTCTTCATGGTGATAAAATAATTTAAACAACTTTTATTTTTTCAATATTTTCATGTATATTTCTTCGCAAAATACAATATAATTTAAAAATATTTAAATATGTAATTAAATATTGGTTTATTGTATTCCATATACAAATATTTAATTAAATATGTATATTATATATAAATAAATAACTTCAAAAATTGTAATTTGTGTTTTAAAATTTTAATACAATTTTTTCACAAGTAAATATATATGATTTAAAAAATGGAAATGCATATATGTAAGTAATTGATTCATGCATTTAACAAAATATATAACATTAAAAATTTTATTTTATTTATATTTTTTTAATATTACATTAATAATATATACTTTAATATTATATTGTATTTAAGTAATAATTTGTATTTTGGTATAATCGTAATAAATGGCATATATGTATAAGCTCTGTGTTTATATTAAATTTATAATATATCAATACTTTTTTAAATTTAATAATTTTAAAATGTTTTTTAAATTTTATTTTGGTAAACCATTTTAGTACACACTTTCTTTGTAAATCATAAAATCATTAAATATTTAAAATTTAGTTTTATAATAAATATAGTTTAACATGCCGCAAAAATAATAAAAATAAATAACTTTTTTTTAAATTAATTGATTAGTTCAAAATATAACATAAAACATTTTTTAATAACATATTTTTAATTTTTTAAAGACGTTACAATAATTCATAACAATTTATAAACATTTTGGTTTAAGATACTATATAGTTCAATAGATATAACCTTTCCTTTTTATTATATATATCATAATTATAATTTAGAATAATTAATGCTGTTAACCTCAACTTAAACTGAAAGCTCGAGCTCCGAAAGATTCATGCTTTTGTTTGTTATTGATATATATAAGTAATATATATATATGTAAGATATATATATATAGAACAAAATTTTAAATTTCGCTATAATTTAAAAATTTATATTGTATAAATACCATTTGATAGATAGTAGACATATCTCTTTATAGTTTATTTCTATTCATTTTAATTTTTATTATTTTAGAGGTTGGAGAGCTCTATCTCTATTGGGTGATCAAATTAGTACTTTATATTTTTAAACGTCATATCGGTGATTTTGTTTTCAGAATCACATTAAAATTGATATTTGTGTTTAGTATATTTTAGCGTCATGTTATGCATGCAGTCATGGTTACATCAATTATAGAATTGTATTTATTTTAATGATAAATAAAAAATTTAACGATAAAAGTAAAAGAATGAAATTCTTATAAACTTCCCTCACGACGACGAGGCTATCTGTACCTCGTGACGTTAGTTAGAAACTATTGATTACTAATAAATGCCAGAATATGATCCCTTTAGGGACAAATATGTATGTATATTATATTTACATTCAAAAGTTAAACAATAGAACACAACTGTTTAATTTAAAACAAATATGAAAAGCAGTTTATAGTGTGAATAGTATGAAATTAACAATTGTGATTTGACTGCTTGTATAACATGCCTTAATAGTTATAAATAGATTTTATGATAAAAATAATGTTCTATTCCGGCGAGGTTTCGAACACATCTTTTCATGCTGTGATAGCCATTTCGTTTCTCTTCATATCCATGGAATAAATTTCATGTTCATTAAATATTAATATTTTAAGTTTAGCAATAAAAATCTATGAGAACTATTTAGAAGTCTACAGCTTCTAAGAACATAATTTTCATCAGGTTAATTGAAAATTCGTTCATATATATTCTTTTAAGAATTACTTAGTAAATATGTATTCGAAATAATACTTCTTTATATTTCTACCAAATAATCACTCTACTTGACAAATCTTTTAGTAGATGTGGACACACTGGAGTGCTTTTTGAAGATTAATTTCGATGAATTAATTTTTGTTTCCGGTCTTATTTAATTCTGCATATTAAAAATTTATATGTGTGAAAACTGATTGTTTATGTTTGTGTAAAAACTATATAAATTGGAAAGGAATTCCTACGTTATTGAACTCACGTTGAGAACATGGAGAGATACCTCAAGGTCGATTGTTCGAGATGTATGGCGGTCTTGAAGACATTTTCGAATAAATGAATAAAATATCTTTAATATCATTTGTCTTACTTATCTTGATAACTATTTGCATTAAACATCCTTCATGACAACCGCCTTCGAATAAAAATTCGCTCCATTATTTTCTTTTCTTCTTTTCTACATATATTCAAAATTAATTAAACTGTGTAAAAAGTGTTATAAAAAGCTAATTTCAATCAGGGGAATCAATCCAGTATGTCCAGATATAATTAAAATTTTTATTTTAGTTTAAAATTAAATCGAAAATACGATATATTATAAAAATAAGATATCTTTTATAATCAGTATCATTATTTATTTTTGTTTAAAGTTCTCAATAACGACTTAAGTAACTTTTATTGTGAACTAAATGGTGTACTTTTTGAGCACATCAGTTGCTAGCTAAAGTCGCTAGCTATAGTTGCTAGCTAAGTCGCTAGCTACAGTTGCTAGCTAATATTGTTAGTTATAATTGCTAGCTAAAGTCGCTAGCTACAGTTGCTAACTAAAGTCGCTAGCTACAGTTGCTAGATAAATTCGCTAGCTACAGTTGCTAGCTAAAATCGGTAGTTACAGTTGCTAGCTAAAGTCGCTAACTATAGTTGCTAGCTAAAGTCGCCTGCTACAGTTGCTAGCTAAAATTGTTAGCTATAATTCCTAGCTAAACTCGCTAGCTACAGTTGCTAGCTAAAGTTGCTAACTAAAGTTGCTAGCTAAAGTTGCTAACTAAAGTTGCTAGCTAAAATCGCTAGCTAAGGTCACTAGTTAAAATTACTAGCCAAAATTACTTGCTAAAAACCCTAGCAACAATTGCCGGAAATATCAATAATTTAGTTAGAAAAATATTGCAGTAGCACTAAGCATGATCGAGCAAGAGTCGCTGAGTAAGATGCTAAATAAGTAAACTATTGCAAGAGTGTTACTAACTGCTGTAGCTCTAAAATGTAGCTTAATCGTGCGTTGTACGACAATTTGTGGAATTACTCCAGTGTGTCCAGGTATATTTATATTATAACTTCAACATTAATGTATGTTTAACATTTTGAATTCTACTGAAAAAAACTGATACTTTCTGTATGAAAAAATAATGCGAAAATAAAAATCAATGTATTTTAGTTTTGTTTTAAATATTATGCTATTTATTGTTAAAAACAAATAAAATTATAAACAATTAAAACTTGTACAAAATCATAAGAACTAAATTACGAACTAAAAAAAAATATATTATTCTTTATAATATAAAATCTAAAACTAATAGTTAATGCAAAAATATACAATATCTAATAAAATAATAATGAAATTAATACAATTATAAAAACTTAAGCTTAAGCAAAATGGTAAATGTGTATGTGTTTGTATTGTATATGTGCTTGTGTATGCTGATGCGTTGTTATTTTAATGTGTGAGTGCGTTCCGTAATTTAATTTTGTTTCATTGCTAATTATAATTTATATATTTATTTTTTGTATATAAATGACATTAATGCTCTTTTTTTTATAAATAATAATAATAATAATAATAATAATAATTTTAAGTCAATGCAATTAAATAATATTCAGCCATTTTGTAGCTGTCAAGTTTGCAATGCTGCCAAGTTTTTTGAACATTTCAAAAAAGAAATGTGCTTTTATTTTAAATGAATTTGTGTATATATGTGTGTGTGCGCGTATATGTTATTTTTTCTTTTTGATGTATTTATGCGTTTTTCTTCTTAATATATTTTTTTTTCAAATAAATTTGTTTTAAGTAAAAAGAGTAAAGAAGTTCAATATTATATGTATTATATGTATGTAAAAAAAAACAAACTTATATTCTAAGCCATTCAGTCAATCAGTCGAAACTTTTGGGATGTGTATTTCACTCTCTCTCCCTTTCACTTGCTCACCTATTTCGCTTCATTTAAAAACAAATTTATTTAATTTGCAGCATTTTCATAACGGGAAAATACTGTTTGTTTTCATTTATGTACTACTACTTAAAAATTGATATTTCAAAACACAGCACAGTTTTCTGGAAGACGGAACTGCTTTCTAATAAAATTCTACTGTTGAGAATTCGAAGCAACCGCACTGTTTTTTATTTTTTGTTACTATTGTTTCCGGTGTTGGTACCGGTGGTCTTCATACATCCTTTATTTTGTTTCATTTTTTTTTTAAATAATTCTTGTTTTTACATTGTAGTTGTTTTGTTTTTTTTATATAAAAAGAGCAGCATATATATTTAATAATATTATTTCTGCATTTTTCTATTTAAAAGTTTTTAATATAATAGTTTTTGTAAAAAGCACTGTGTATATCTTTGTTGTTGTTGTTGTTATTGTTCCTTTTGTTTTACTCAATTTCAGTGAAAAGGTTTTTTATGTTGTAACGAATTGAATTTTCTCATAATTTTCATAATCCTTCAAAAATTCACAATAGTTTGGGTTAAGTTAAGTTGGTTAAGTTGGCAATTCAGCTGCTATGACTGCTGCTACCGCTTCGGTTGTTGTTCGTTTGCTGCACACGTTTTGATAATTGTTGTTGCTGCTTTTCGTCGGTGTTTGTGGTACGATCCGCATGTGTTCGTCTGTGATGTCTGCGCGAGCGTCGGCACTGCGTAGAGCAGCATTCATCGATTGCCGGCTCATTTTTGTCGAATACTTTTCGCTTTGCCGAAACGCGCGTTTGCTGGCATGTAGAGCGAGAGCAATGCTTGCGATCACAAGTAACTTTAGAGTCCTAAAAATGTTATAAAAAAAAATCAAAATTAATAACTTCGCTTACAGAAGGTTGTTTTTTTTTCAATTTACTTACCTTACAACGACACTTTATACATTTCTGTTCGCCATGCGATGCTATCACTGGATGCCATTCCTGACCGTTTTCATAAATCTTACTCAAAACCTTACAACCTCCTTGATTCAATTTTTCCTCTGGTGTACGCATATTTACTCTACCAGATGCTTGATCACCTAATTCATCTGTATTCAGTGGTCCTAATACTTTGTCATTACGCACTTTACCCTCTGGACAAACCTTACAGCAAGCTTTTTTGTCCGGTCTGTAGGCTAATTTTTCAGAACATGCCAAAAGTGGACATACCATGCGTGGGCAGCGTATTTCCAAGGTAAGCGCATCACATGTACAGGTGGTGCATGTATCAAAACCATTTGGTGGTAAATAGGGATGCCAAGTAGCGCCGGCCATGTGGAATTGATCGCCTAAGCGGCAACCACGTTTTGTTTGTTCTGCTGCGCTTATTATTTCACTTCCGCTATTTTGTGAAATACATGTGGGACAGCATTCACCTTCACGCTGTACTAATTCTTCGCTGAGTTTGCACAACACAGTGGGACATTTAATTGGCTCGCAGGTAGAACGACCGCGCTGACAAGCGCACATCTGGCAAGTATCCTGTGTGCTGCGCCATTGTTCGGCATCATCGTAAAAACGTCCTGAATGGAAACACTTTGCGTCCGGTGCAATCAGGTGGTTGTCATTGTGATCGCCCGGTACTAGCACGTTCGGTACATTATTGTCTGTGTAGATAGGAAAACAATGTGCTGGTACTTTTGTTGACTTTAGTTTGCCACGCAGCAGGAGTTCACGTTTATCTTTTGAATGAATTTCGAGGTAGCAAACACTAGTTTCCAATTTAACGAGCTCATTAGATGGCATACCCAGCACGAAACCTTCCATGTAAGAGCCTGAGAATTCTTCTAAAAGTTTGCGTGTGACTGGTGCTCCAATGGCTTCAATCGGCTTTTCCTCTAGATAAATTTGCAATTCCTGTGGATTAGCTTGGAAGCCATTCAAAGTAATTTCGTAGTGTAGATTACATTCATTATCAATGGCAATCCAAGCCATACCCATTGAGTGCATTGGTGCAACAATAGAATTTTCGGCACGCTTTAATAGTATAGGTTCAGCTGAATCACGTGCATCTGCGACTGGACGTGGTGCAAGGCGACCACGTATTAAACTAGGCTCACTTTCGATAGCAATATTAACACCCAAATCACCAGCATACAGTGATTCTAAAACTTTTGGGCCTAATTTATCAATAGTGCCAATTGCTTGATTGAAGTTGAAAGTGGGTGTCAGATCTTCAAGCATAGTTTTACGTTTACCCAAATCTTCTATTAGACTAATTTCAGGACGATCTTTTGTATTAACATGATCAGTTTCAATATTATACGATAAGGAACCATCGGTATTCAAGAACACCCAAGCTAAACCACTGCTTTTAGTTTTTGATTCACCATTATGCGGTGTTAACAGTGTTTGGAAAAGTTCGCAAGTGGTTCTTGTGAGTATATGCCCTTGTATGCGTAAATTTGGATTCTTCTTTGATTCAATAGTTAAGAGGAGTTTACCACGTGACATCAGACGCAGGTTTTGTATAGAAATTGGTGAAGAAATTTCCAAAACATTAATTTCAGTTGATGGTTTTCGCACTTTTTGCACTTCATCCAAAACAATCTCTTTACGATCGGGTAGTTCAACACGTACATTAAGTGCTGCGTCGACATAATCATCAGGACTGAAAACACCATTAAATACCAAAGTCAAATGCATCGATGAAGCAGCACCACTACTGGTTGATACAATTGCAGTGCCACCTGCTCCAGCCATTTGATCTGGTTTAGTGCCGGGTGCAGGTTCCATAAGCGAGCTAAATAGTTCCGTTTGAAGTGCAGTGTATTTGGCAATTTTGCCAGCTAAAGCGAGTTCAGCTTGGAATTTGTTGCCCCACAAAAGTACCACATGTAGACGCTCATCACGCAATAAACGTTTATAATCGCGTGGTACACGACGCCAAACACCACATACTTTGCCTGTGGAGTTCTGATAAATACTTAAAGGGCCCAAAATTTGCGTTTCCAATTGATGCTCCTCCAAAATGGTACCACTGTCATCTACAAATTGTATGGCACGAGGACGATTGATTTTCGATGATATATAGAAGGAGTAGTAGAGATTCTTTTTGTGGAACATAAAACGACCAGTGGCGACTATATTCAATGGATTGTGTGTGGTGTACATAGTTTTCATTTCTTCACCTTTCAGAAAATATGAGGTTCTGCCTGTGAGTAGAGCGGCGAAATCTGCAAAAAAAAACATATATATAATCAAATTTATAATGTAGAAGTAGTAACATGATATGTATTGAATAGTGGAAGGGACAAGTTGAAAGAGGAATTTTATGGCAGCTGTTCTAGCTATTGTTGCTATTGTTTTTGTAAAATGTAGAAGCCAACGATAAAATAGGTGTGAAATATTAAGGTCAGTTAGATAAGTTAATAGTGTGAACACTTACGTTTCATGTTGCGCTCTTCTTCTTCCAGATTCAGTGGTGCAGGCACGTCTAAGGCGATGTTCGTATCTGTAACATAAAACCAAAACAAAAAAAGACATTAAATTTAAGATAAGAAAAATTAAGAAACTGACAGATATATAATAGCAGTTAAATGGAATTCCGATACCAAACAACATTAAATTCAAATAAGCATGAGAAATGCTTAATCTTTCTCCGTTTCTGTTCGTTCGATCTTGGTGTTTTGTTATTTTTTTGTTCTTTTTTTTTTTCTCCGAACAAACGAATTAAAATGAAAATTATGAATGAATCGAAAGGCATAATAAATGAATAAGCGTTCACGTAGTGACATTGTAGCGCTTAAATACCTTCATATATTATATATGCACTCTATATGGGTGCGTGTGTGTGTGAGAGGCTTATAGGTTCATGCATAATATCAAAGAATGTTCGGAATCTTATACCCACATCACGTTTCGGTGTCTTTATTGGCAAGAGAGTGACAAAAAACAGTTTAAAATGCAGCACAAATGCGAGGATATTTAAATTTACATAGTTGAATTGTATGTGTGTGTGTGTGTGTGTTGAACAGTGTGTTTGTTGTGTGTAGGTTAAATAGTCATAACACAGCGGTCGAGGTAGTTCGTTTCGGTCGTAAAAGCCGATAAACGGCATAGAGTTCTGAGAATTGTTGTTATTCATAGCTTAAAATCTACAAGACAACAACAAAAATAACGGCTTAAATGAGAAACTGTGAAAAGGAGGTTGGGCATTCTACGGTTAAAAACAATCAACACAATAAATGACATTAAACAAGCGCACAAATAAGCGTTTAAGATTTAGAATTCAAGAAGGAAAAAAAATAATAAGAATAATGTATGAGATTTTTGGGGTCAGCTGTCATAGGTTGACATTAGGCAACAGGCAGCACGGCGTAAAGATTTAATTTTATGCACAAGGAAGTTGGAATTTGGCTGTTAGAATTGTTAAAGGCTTAAGTCATTTTCATTATTAGATTCAATGGGTAGTATATAAGACAGGAGATAAATTTACAGAGAATAACGTATTAATATTATTTTTTGAATTAGAGATTTCCCAAACAGAAATCAGTTTAGCATGGATTATATATAAACTCTTAAAATAAAAAAGCAACAGATATAGTACTTTTCTAATTTATAGTCACAAAGATATCTAACAATACCGAAGTTATGGTATATGGAATAAATATCAATTTTATGACAGCATATAAGATCCATATAAATATATTCTAATAAGGTTCGATAGTTATAACTGTAAACATAGTGTAAGAATTTGGGAACTTTTAGAGAAACCGATATAATACGATATATAGAAATACTAAAATACTAAGATAGAACTTCAAAGGTCATTAGGCTATTAAAAAAAAATAGATTATTTTTTTGTATAAAGTATGTAAAGTATGTTTGTTCTGAGAGTAACAAGACGAAAGTCAATATACAGAAATAATGTCATTAAAGAATATAATATTTTTATTAAATGAGTTTCTTCATAAAACTGAAATAAAAATTTTTTACTAAAGAAAGAATATTAAGATAACATACGCATCATTATTATAAATGGACTCTGTAGTAAGTTTACCCGTTTAATATTCAATGAGATTTCAAACAGGCTAATTCCTTGTTCCGGTTTCTGTTCATTCTAATATTGGAAACGAGAACCCGAGAAACAGATTTGAATCGTGCTGGCACAATATTTTATGAAATTGTAATGTTACTTCCGTATGTAGATGATATTTTTATAGTGACTCAGGTCACTGTTGACAACTGTATTTTCAAATTTAATGAAAATGTTTATTTGGGAAATAGTGTGAACATCAAAAACGACGTCATCCTAGAGTTTCAATGAAGAAGCACTCTTGCCAACGGATGTTAGTTCGGGCTAAGTAGACAATTTAAAAATAAAGCTTAACTTTCTCTCAGTCAACAAAATTCACATTCTATAAGTCTTTACGTATCTAAATTTCATTATATTTCATTATATTATTCATTATTTCATTATATTATATTTTAAATATTTAAGTTTAGAATATTTATTACTATTGCCTATGAAACCTTTACAAGGAAAGGAGGGTTCAATTATATTTAGACTGACAACATCTAAAATCGCAAGGCATTTTATTTTTTATTTTTTTTTAGCAAAAAACTTAGTTAAAATTAAACAAAAAAATTGTAAAAAAAAAATTTGCCATTGGCGAAATGCTATCCAGATATCCAGATTTTGTGTTGCCAACCCAACATTAAGTGGAATAAATCGAAAAGGGTTACTTAAGCTTCACACAATCTTCTTGCTAATGTTAAATTATTGTACAGGGCTTAGCAACATATTTTTATGCATTCCTCAATGCGCAACAAACAGTGCAAAAACGTCGATCGCTTGGCAAACTCGATTGAATGCAACTGATTATTGCTTCGCCGAAATATGCAAGCCACGGCAAAACGAGGTAGAAGTGAGAGCTGCGAAGGCTCAAATGTTCCAAACATGCCACCACCACCTTCGCTGCGCTTCATTTTAGCTCCAACACAGGCTGTTTTTTTTTTATTTTAACAATTCAGTGGAATTTTTTTCTCTTTTAGTTTTTTAAGAAGTTCATTCTTTTTTTTATTTTTTTTTTGCTTTCATTCTTTTGTGTTTTCGGTTTTCATATTAAATTCGGCATGTTACGGTAGGCAGTAGTTAACAGTCGGCAGACAGGCAAATACGAGAACTATTGTTGTTGTTTTTGTTGTTGGTGTACTGCTGCTGCTGCTGCTGCTGCCGTTGCCAATGCTTTTGCCGGTGTGTTGTGTTGTGTTGTGTTGTTGCTATAATGAAGGGCGACAAATCTGACACCTTGTATAGCATTTTATTGAGCGCACTTAAGCAGGAAAATACCCATGGCGTTTTTGTTCGCAATATTATCGTTGTTGTTGTTATTGTTGTTATTGCTGTTATCGCATATACACTTCTGCTGTTGGCGTTATTTTTTTTTTTGTTGTTTCATTTTCATTCAACATCATTATTTTTTTCTTAAATATTTGTATTTGTATGTATACATATAAATGTGTTTTGGTATATGATTGTATGCATAAACTTAATATTTTGTTTTTATTTTTGATTTTTGTGTTGTTAAACTTGTAATATTGTTGTTGTACGAGACTGCTTGCGCCTTTCCGCCTTTGCGCCTTTGCACCTACCTCATACCTTACAGCTTATGGCTCATACAAATGATCTTATCGTTTGATCTTAATACTTTTTTCTTTTGAATTTTGTTTCTTGCTTCAAAAGTACTATGGTTGGACACTGTATGCGCACATTGTACTGACAGTAAGGCTATTGTTGCATTACTCGATTGCAGAGACAAATAAACCAAGACGACGAGCGAGGGAAGCAACAAATATTGTATGCGGCTTTATACATGAGCCTGTCACTATTTCAGCTTATGGATTTGGATTCTTTCCTTCCTTTTTTGTTAATTTTTTTTGTATTTTTTGGAGTTTCCATTTAACTTCTCATTATTTTTTTTTATTGTATTATTTTTCCTCTTTTGCTATTTAAGGCACATTCCTTAACTGCATTTTTCTGCTTTTATTTTTTTGTGGCTTTATTTTTGCTTTTTTTTTCGTAATTTCCTTAGTATTTTTGACACTTAATCTTGTTGTTGTTAGCTTTAAAATGTATTTTTTTTCATTTGGTGTAATTTTTCTTTAGTGCAAATGAATGAATTCTTTTTTTACGATCCTCTGACTATATATTATATTCTTAAGCCCAAATAAATGAGTTTTCTGTGTTGTATTTTGTTGGACATTGCGGCAGTGATTAAAAAATCTTTAAAATCTCTGGTACGCCGACCACGTCGTCATCTTAATACGTTGAACATTCATTCTCTGGTATGTGATATTAATTTCTATACGTATCATTCAATACTTTGACATATATGGTTTGTACGTGTTTTTGCACCCAGTAGGAAATGGTATGAATGATGTTTTTCCATATTTTTCTGTACCTTGAGATCAAAAGTAACTTTAACCGAATTTCATTTTACTTTGCATAAATTGGAATACAGTATAAATAATTAAAATCTATATTTAAGAGTCACTATTTACATTGAGAATATATTAAATGAAAGTAATCATTTATTATTAAAATTGGCTGTATTAATTTCTTTAATTTTCATTTTTTATAATTTATAGGTACACTTTTACATTGGTTTTAACTATTTTTGCTTTCGCTGAAAATGCTTCAAAAACATGCTTCTTAAATGTATAAATAGTTTTTAGTCTGCTGGGAACAAAAAAATCATTGGGTTTAAAATTACTACGGTGGATAATCTAATAATGTTTGGATTTACCGCCTTATCATTTTGTACATCTTTTTTATTTTCAAATCTTTAGTGGTATTAACTGGTACTTCCCCGAACCAATGCGAAAGCGGTTCAATGGGGTGAAAAAATCTTTTCAGGAGGTAGTGTTTTAGTCCATCAACTACTTATCAGGGAGTCTGGGATATCGTTTTGACGACGATACTAATAATTTTGGTCATAAAATAATAAATATTTATAACAATTTATAATATTAGATTATAGATTGAAACATAAAATAAATTAATTTAAAATAAACTTAACTTCTAATGCCTTTTTTGTCTACTGGGGTTTCACTTCTTCCTCATTTAAATGAGATGCAGAGGTATTGTAACGTATTGGGCCCTGAAGACCTGGCGTTTGATTTTGTGTTAATTAAAAAAAATATATATTATAACAATTAATTAACTTTATACCCAAAATTATTTTTTGATTGTTGTTTTTTTTTTAAATTAACAATATTTCCTGATTTCTTTATGGTTTGAGCGCGGTAAATTCTAAACTTCTTTATGTGCTGCCTATAAATTTTGTATACAATATATATATTTATATATCTTTCCTTTTTTATTCTCTGCCATTTAGTTGTTATTATAAGATTTTTTTTATATATGTGTTATCTTAGGAATTTGTGATAAATATCTTTTTCAAATGTTATTCCAAAAAAGAAAAAAATTAACAACCAATTGAAAAAAGA